GTCTCTGACGGGGCAGTTACCGTGTCACAAAAGTCCACGTATCCTGTAAGCAAGAGTAAACATCAAGCAGATGTGACACGCAAGTGCTGCATCCTCAGATGTTCTCCCAGGAAACGTTTTTAAGGGCGCTCCTCAGGACCCAAGAAAGTAGATTCTTTCACAACAATTACAGTGAAAGAAAGACAGACAGACACACACACACACACACATACACACACAGGAACTGTCATCTTAAAAATCTCTCCAATTGTCAGGTAGAGGCACAGGCAAAAATAGCTGTACAGTTAGGATGGCCCATGCGATTCCAAAATATCCCAAAGAGAGAAAGAAAGAGGGGAAGAGAACAAACAGGACAACTCCACAGCCAAAAACAGATTTGCCCCCAGGGCTATCTCATAGCTAAAAACAGTTCAATCACTCTGAGTCATCCATGGTATATAGCATCTTTTATTTTTTAATTGTAAAATACGATAAACATATAAGAGAGGGGAAATGTAAATATTGAGCTTAATGAATGAAAACAAACCCCCATGTAACTACAACTCAGGTCAAGAAATGGAACCGTGTCCAGTGGTAACTCCCTGCCAGGCGTGCCTCTCCCAGGCACAGAGTAAAAATATGGGTGCTATTTTGAAAGTTCCATTTTTACTCAAGGACTGGGATTTATTTCATTTTAATTTTATTTATTTATTTATTTTTGGCTGCGTTGGGTCTTCGTTGCTGTGCACGGGCTTTCTCTGGTTGCGGCGAGCAGGGGCTACTCTTCATTGTGGTGCGTGGGCTTCTCACTGTGATGGCTTCTCTTGTTGCAGAGCACAGGCTCTAGGCACGTGGGCTTCAGTAGTTGTGGCACGCGGGCTCAGTAGTTGTGGCTTGCAGGCTCTAGGACGCAGGCTCAGTAGTTGTAGCACACAGGCTTAGTTGCTCCGTAGCATGTGGGATCTTCCCGGACCAGGGCTCGAACCCATGTCCCCTGCATTGGCAGGCAGATGCTCAACCAGTGCACCACCAGGGAGGTCGTTGGGATTTATTTTTATGTATTTACCACAAATACCAACTGCTGTGACTGCAAAGTGAACAGATTTGGAAAGGGGGACTGTTTATGGAAACAAGCTCATGGATTGTTAATTCACGAAAGCACATGGGGGAAAGGCATGGAAGGATGCCTAGAAACAGGGGGGAAAGCCCAGATTGTGGCCCAAGAGAAACTTGAGTTAGAATCTGGCACCCTGGGCACAGATGACCTCTCAGGAGCCACAAAATGACTTCCCATCACATGATATTATTGGAAAAATTCAACGGGATCATGTGTTTCAATGGCGAGCAAAGCACCTCATACACAGGAGACAGTCCACAAATACTGGGCTCCCTTTCCTCTCCTTGCCCATGAAAAGATGCAAGGTTGAAAAGGCCATGACTTTCATAGATTATGTGATTAGAAACCGTCCTAATCCCCAAATTCTCTAAACTGTTTCACAAAAGTGATGATACAAGCCCATTTTCAAGTTACCCAGGTGACTTTGACAACGAGGAGGGCTCGAACATGTCCCCTGCATTGGCAGGCAGATGCTCAACCAGTGCACCACCAGGGAGGTCGTTGGGATTTATTTTTATGTATTTACCACAAATACCAACTGCTGTGACTGCAAAGTGAACAGATTTGGAAAGGGGGACTGTTTATGGAAACAAGCTCATGGATTGTTAATTCACGAAAGCACATGGGGGAAAGGCATGGAAGGATGCCTAGAAACAGGGGGGAAAGCCCAGATTGTGGCCCAAGAGAAACTTGAGTTAGAATCTGGCACCCTGGGCACAGATGACCTCTCAGGAGCCACAAAATGACTTCCCATCACATGATATTATTGGAAAAATTCAACGGGATCATGTGTTTCAATGGCGAGCAAAGCACCTCATACACAGGAGACAGTCCACAAATACTGGGCTCCCTTTCCTCTCCTTGCCCATGAAAAGATGCAAGGTTGAAAAGGCCATGACTTTCATAGATTATGTGATTAGAAACCGTCCTAATCCCCAAATTCTCTAAACTGTTTCACAAAAGTGATGATACAAGCCCATTTTCAAGTTACCCAGGTGACTTTGACAACGAGGCATCTAAACCAGTCTTGGAGGCCCAGAATGTACCGTCCTCCCTCCCCTACTGGCTCATATCCCTGTCTCTCCCTCACTTATCACAAGGTGAAAGGCCTAAGTGGGCTGTCAGGAAAAAACACCTCACACCCCAGTAGGGAGCCTTCATCCATCTCTTTGAAGACGAAAAGCAACAAGGTGTGTTTATTTGTACTTGGTGCACACGGCCTCATCGACCGGCCTGGGCTGCACGAAGCGACTCAGTTCGTTAAAAATAATAATAATAAAACCCACCCGCTCACACCACTAAGCAGATCTCTCCAGGAGAAAAGGTCAACACCCACACTCCTGGGTACACATGGGGGAAATCAAGCCTTTTCAAAGATAATGTCAGGGAGTCCCTAAAAGGTCAGCCAGGAAGGAGGTGAGCTGTCTGACCCCCTCAGGGCCCGGCCACCATTAGACATGCCTCACCATCCACGCACTTAAACCCACCGAGCCCACCACGGGAAGGAAAGCTGGGTATCGATGGGCTGAGCCTTTCTCACAGGCTACAGTAAAAAATAATAGCGGTCAAAATCGATGCTTCACTTCCCTAACACAAACAATAAAAACAAAGGAAGAAAAACACATACACAAACATATGAAGGCGTCTGAGAAGGTTCCTGAAAAACAAAGGCCTCCAGATTGCTCTAGAAATGACTTTCAGACCTACAAAGACCGGGAACTCAGACTAGGGCTCCACTCTGACCCCAGGTTTCTTTTACAGACTCTCAAAAGAAGACAGAAGTCAAAAGCACCAGCTTTTATAATCTCTCTTGTTCTATCAACTTCCCTGAAGAGGATCGAGCTGTAGGATATGGGACAGAAGGGCAGGGTCCCTGGCCCACTATGAACCCCAAATTGAACCACCATGCAGGCTTCAGGAGAACTGACCAGCCCTGTTTCTGGTAACACTTCAGGTCAAAGTAGAATCCCTGCTAGAAGGATGATGCTTAACATAACAGGAAATGCATACACCCCAACCTGCCTAGAAGTTTCTAAACCAACAACTAACTGTAAAGGTGAGACAAAACCACACAAGCTCAATGACCACAGGTAACAGAAAACTACCACCTGGGACAGCTAGGCATTCTGTGACCGCACCCCCTCCATTTTTCCCTCCCCATTATGACTATTTTATTTATTTTAGCCCTATTTTATACGTACACACACATATGAAGTAACCCGTGCTGACCAGAGGAAGACAAAATTAACTTTACAGTTATTTTTACAGAGTTGGAGACTCAACCAAAGCAACCCAGTACTAACCGGGAGATGCAATAATAAATAACACTTTCTACTGAGCCTCAAGCAGCTCTCTGATGACAAACACAAGTCCCGGCTTCCAGACTGTCCTGCTTGGGTGTTATCAGGGGACACACCAGGGCAACGCAAATTGAGAGCATGAATCTAGGCAGGTCTTTGTGTCTGAGGTGTCCTGGAAATCTGCCTGTTCTAACAGCCTCCAAATAATCATTCACCCCTACCCGTGAGTGCCAGTGCCCCCTTGGAACTCTCTCCCTGTGGTGGCCCAATAGTTCAGGAGGAACAAGGCACTCTGACCCAGACCTGGTTAAAAATCCACAGCAGCCACCAGCATTCCACCCTCACTGGAAGCCACAGCAAACCCACAGACATCTAAACGGGAGTCTCCAGGAGTGGGGATGATGTCATAGGTCTGAGAGTGGGGGAAGGCTACCCAGTGGATTCTGGGGATGGCCAGGACCAGGGACTTCAAGGAAGGAGGAGGATTTCTCTTTCCAAGTGCACACCTGGCAGGGAGGGGGAAGTTCAGAATTAAGTGAGTCTCCACTTCCCCAACAAACACACCACCAAAGACACCTCCACAGCAAGTAGCTAGAAGCATCTGGGAGAATCAGGCATTAATTAGACACGTGGATGGCACCGACGTCAGGCAAGCCAGCTTCTGCTGAAGAAAGCTCACTGGGCCCTGTCACCTACTTTTCTGGGCATCAGCTGCCCAGAAATAAACATCAAGGGGCCAAGGGCGTGGCGACCCTAGGAGGGGCAGCTGACAGCTGTGGCCGGCGGGCAGGGGCAGGGGAAGGGCTCCAGGCTGGAATTCGGAGCGCGCCCACATCAGCAGAAAAGTTCCCTGGAATAGCATGTTGCTCCCGGGGACCTCAGGATGCACACGCTACGGCGATGCCAGGTTCAAAGGGCCGGCAGATGAAGCCCGGATTCTCTCCCAGGGCATCTCGCCATTGTAGGTCGAGTGGGGGTAATCAGATGATTTAAATAAATGTCCTGCTCCCAGTATCAATGGGAAAGATTAATAATTCCCAGGTCTGGCCCTGCTTCATCTCTCTTTGCCCAAACCAAACACAGTCCCAGGGAGGAATGGAAGGAAACGGCGATTACCGCTCGCCGTGCGGTCCAGGTAGGAAACTGAGGCACGGGGGTGCACACAAGAGAACCCAAAGAGGCCCTGGAGAGGCTAGCACAGCACGGAGCATCCCGAGTCTGGGATGATGGGATCAGGGAAGCGTTCTCTCCCCTCCGCTCCCTTCCTCCTTTCCCCTACACAACACACACACATACACATGCACGAACTCTCCAGCTACGCCCAATCAGGGCAGCTGCCGGGCTCCCCAGAGCCGGACTGCACACAAAGCCCCGCCCGTGCACACACAACACAGCACAAGCCGGCGCGCACGCCCACACAATAGGACGGCGCGCACCCCGCCGCGGCCCCTCGCCGGGGTCCCGGCCAGCCCGGCGCCGGGGTCCGCCCTCCGTGCACACCCGCGCCGGGAGACGCAGCCCGGGCAAGAGGAGGGGGCACGATCGCAGCCCGGCCGCCGCGTCCCGCGCCCCGAAGAAAGTTCGCCGGACGCCCCCCGACTCACCCGCGGCGCTGCTCAGCAGCAGGCACAGCGGCCCCAGCAGCCACATGGCGCGGCCGGGGCTCCCGCTGCCCGGCGCCGTCGCTGCCCCCGCGGCCTCGGCGCTGACCCCGCCCCTCGCCGCGCCGGCCCCGCCCCCGTCCCTCCTCCCGCCCGCCCCGCCCTCCTCGGCCAGGCCGGCCCCGGCCCCGCTCCGCGAAGTTTTGCGAGCGTCCCGGCTGCGCGCCGAGCCCGCGTCCTGCCTAGAGTGTCCAGGCTTGGAGAGGCCGCGGAGGAGGCCGCGGAGGGTCCGGCCCTGGCGGCCTCTCGCCGCCAACCCCCTCTGGCTGCGAAGATCTAGTAATAGCCCGGGCTCTGTTCTTGCCTTCTCTTTCTCTTTTTCCTCCGCCTTTTGCTCCTCCATCGTCTGAGGATGCCGCTCTCACCATCTCCTCCTCAGTCCCAAACTTGGATTCTTTACGGAACTACAAAGTGAGTTTACTCCAGGGAGGGAAAGAAAAAGTTGGAAGAAAGGGCCAAATATTATGAGGAAAAAAAATTTATATATATACACACACACACACACACACACACACACACACACACACATACGTATATATTACTTTTAGTAGCTAGAGTGGAATACGGCGAGTTCTTCTCAAACTTCTCAGACGCATCCGACGCACCGGGACTCTGACTCAGTAGGTATGGGGAGGAGCCTAAGATTCTGCTCTTCTAACAAGCTCTTAGGTGATTTGGAAACTGATGGTGAACCACACGTGGAGTAGGCACACAGCATTGTCCTGTGCTTTATTTCCTCTGGATCTTGTCTACCTAGACCAGAGGAACTTTGGGTCCCAATTTGCAGAAAAGGAAAGTAAATGTGAAAGTAGAAACCCAAATACAAAAAGAAGTTGGGACCCCACTGCAGTTGGGGCTCCAAGACAGCACTGGTGACAGTTCTCAAAGAATTTAGATGGAGGAAGAATCAATGACACTTTCGTGCTCCACTCTCCAGTCCCTCCCCTCCCCAGAAAACAACCAAAGCAAAAACAACAACAAAAAACCGAATGCAAGTAATCACCCAACACTGGAAATATCCATCAACTAAGGAATGGATAAACAAATTGTGTTCTATCACCTAATGCAACAACATAAATGAATCTTAAAAGCATGTTAAGAGAAAGAATCCAGCCTCCAAGGGTACATTCTGTATGCTTTCATTTTTTTTAAGATTTTTTTTTTAATGTGGACCATTTTTGAAGTCTTTATTGAATGTGTGACAGCATTGCTTCTGTTTTAGGTTTTGGTATTTTTTTGGCCCTGTGGCATGTGGGACCTTAGTTCCCCGACCAGGGATCAAACCCGCACCCCCTGCATTGGAAGGCAAAGTCTTAACCACTGGACGGCCAGAGAAGTCCCCTATGATTCCATGTACAAGACATGAGGGGTGGGCTTCCCTGGTGGTGCAGTGGTTGAGAGTCCACCTGCCAATGCAGAGGACACGGGTTCGTGCCCCGGTCCGGGAAGATCCCACATGCCGCGGAGCGGCTGGGCCCGTGAGCCATGGCCGCTGAGCCTGCGCGTCCGGAGCCTGTGCTCCGCACAGGGAGTGGCCACAACAGTGAGAGGCCCGCGTACCAACCCCCCCAAAAAAAAGAAAGACATGAGGGGTGAGGGCAAGGGAGCGAAACAAAACTCTAGGGACCAAAATCAGATCAGTAGTTATCAGGGTCTGGCCTAGGGAAGAGGATGAGTGAAAAGGGTCACAAGGGAAACTTCTGAGGTGGTGGGCTGTTCTGCATTGCGATTATGGTGGTGGTTACACAACTTTATAAATTTGTCGAAACAGAGAACTACATCCCTAAAACCCACACCTAAAACAAGTGAATTTTACTGTATATAAATCTTACCAGTTTGGAGGAGCAAGGAGGGTGTGGGTGCTGGGACTGTGGGTGAGGGAGCTTGTAGATAGGATGCCCACACTAGATTTGGGATGCGCTGAACACAACCTGCAGGATACTGAAATTCAATGCCGTTGCTTTTTAATTATCTGTTCTAGTCTGGAAACATGAAGGCTAAAGTGAATCAGGTCAAAATTTTAAAATACCAGTGACGGTTCAAGGTAATGAGAAAATGTGAAGCAATGTAGGAGAGTTGAGCAAGTTCCATATTACAAAGGAGTTTGTCAAGCATGGAAAACATAAACAAATTCTCCAAAAGATTTAGGATCTGGGGGTTTTATTCTGGGATCCATGAAACACTAGGGAGCTCATCTCATAAACTTTTAAAGCCCCCCCCAAATTTTATGCATATTTCAGGTGTGTGTATGTGCATTTTTCCAGGAAGCATGTCGGAATGAGGCCCCTGGCCTCTGATAAAGATACACGAGAAGGCAAATAATTTCTCCTACAGCTACTCATTTTCCCCCAAACATTAGGAATATGGAAAGAGAATGGATCTGACCCAGTACCATCTTTCTTGTTTCCTTGTGTTACTTTGGGTACCTGAACTTCAACTCTTGATTTAGTGTGCCTGGCTTGCTTTCTGTCTCTCTGTCTCTCTCTGTCTCTGTCTCTCTCTGTCTGTCTCTCTGTCTCTCTCTCTGTCTCTGTCTCTTTCTCTCACACACACACATATTTCTTTTAAATATATGAATATCTTTGAAATCATTCCAACAATGTAAAGCCCTCTTTACATTCAATGGTTGTTTTTGTACTTATATTGAATCACTCCCAACCTCCTCACCATATAAGCTGGGCAGGAGGTAAAACCATTCTTTATACTTCATTGCTCTCCTCTTTCCCAGTTCTTTAGAATTCTATCAAAAGCACAGGACACTCAGTTTCCAGAAAACATGATAGGCTCCAGTGCTAACTGTCCAGATCTCAGGGAGCCAGTCCCAAGTTGTTTTTTTACAGTTGGTTTCATACAAATCAAAACCAGAGTGCTTTATGTCGCTTATTTACCAAAAATGAGACACTCTGACCTTGGATGTGTGCTTTGAACATGGCTTCACATTGCTGAAGGAGGGAAGAAAGAGTTTTGTCTCTCCGTGGTCTTTGGTAGAATGCGCTATAGTTCCCATACTTTTTCTCATTAACTCCTCACAGCAGCTCCAGCGACATCACAGGTGAAAACAGCACAAACTAGACTTGAGCTCAGCTTCTTCTTACATGTGCTCCAATTCTCCTCACTTGCCACACACTAGTCTGTGACTTTGGGCAAGTTATCAGCCTCTCTGAGCCTTAGTTTTCTTATCTGTAAAATGGGGATAAAAAGAGCACCTGGATCTTAGGGTCGCTGTCAGGATTCAATGAGATATGTAAAGTCTTTAGCATAGTACCTTGCACATAGTAATTGCTCAAGGAAAGGTAGATGCTGGTGTAATTGTGACTGTGATTCATATTACAAGGCAGCTGCTGTGGTAGCCAGTCTCCAAGATGGCACTGAAAGATCCTTGGCTTCTGGTATCCGTGCTTTGTGTAGTCCCCTCCCACCCTTGAATGGGGCTGGCCGACATATGTGACCAACGGATATTGTGGAAGTGACAATGGGTAACTTCTAAGGCTAGGTCACAAAGGACATAGCACTTTCTTCCTTGCTCTCTTAGATCCCTTGCTCTGCGCGAAGCCAGCCACCATGTTGTGAGGACACGCAAGCAGCCCTGTGGGTAGGCCCACATGGAGAGGGACTGAGCTTCCTGCCAACTTGGAATGAACCATCTTGGAAGCAGAACCTCCAGCCTCAATCAAGCCCTCAGATGACTGTGCCTAGACCAATATCTGACTGGCTATTGTGAGAAATCCTAAGCTGGAACCACCCAGCCACTCCCAAATTACTGATCTACAGAAACTGTCTGAGATAAAAAATATTTATTGTTGTTTTAAGCCAATAATTTTCAGGGTGATTCCTTATGCAGCCATAGATAACTAGTACTTCTGCCTTTAAAACCATCCAGAGGATTGACTTAATGATTCTATAGGACCTTTTAAATGACTTCATACTTAGAAAACATTTTGAATTTTGCCTGCTACATGGTAAGCACTCGAATGTTCGTTTTATTGTTATCACAGTTTATTTTAAAATTATTGTCATTACCATTAGCTTTTTTCCAAAGCACCTAAAAGCAACTTTCAAACTTTAAAGAAATGTTTTAACTTGAAGAAAAGTAAGGACTTGTATGGAAATAACAAGAGGAGGGAGAGCCAGGGACACTGAACAGACAGAGAGAAACTTGACTTACAAAAAGTTTCCTGAAAACAAGTAGGCATTAGCTTCATAAAAAATCAGGCAGAGAGGGCTTCCCTGGTGGCGCAGTGGTTGAGAGTCCGCCTGCCGATGCAGGGGACACGGG